TGCTGACTGGACACATTTATGCATTGATAATATACTAAAAAAAGGATTTGTTACCTATCATAGCCACAAGCACAATCAGCACTAAAAAACAAAACAAAACAAAAATACAAAAATACAAAAAAAAAAAACCTCTACATAAACTCTTTCCGCTCAGGAGGTTATATGGAGGTAAAACAAGTCAGGAATCACAGAGAGAGAGAGAGGGGCGGGAGAGCGAGCTGTATTTACAGATTGTGCTTGGAGACTAATATAGCCTGTCTGGTGGAGCTGTGGGAACTACAACCCAGGCTTTTCTCCACCTGTGCACAAGCACGTGCAGCTGCATGGCTCATTATCGTGTGCGCCCGTGCGGGCGGGCGCGCGAGCGTCTATAAATGAGCGTCTTCGTTCGTTTAGCAAATTGTGCGCCATAGTTTGCACCATAATTACACGAAACTGCGCTTGGTTTTGATGAAACAACAAGTAAGAAATAACTTTAAGCTAACGAAGCATAATTTTAATAATAGTAATAATAATATTAATAATAGCCATTAACTCTGTTATTGTTATTATTGCACTAGCTTACCCTTTAAGTAGGCCCGTGCTGCTAGAAATCTTGTTCATGCCTGTATTTGCAGCACTGCAGCTTCGGTTCAGGAATTTAGTGCTCTGTCGTTAACAAAAGCTTTGCTTTCGGTGTTTCCTCTCTGTGTTGTATCTTAAATATTAACACAATTAACGTTACCAATTTTAGCTTAAAGGGAAAAAAACACTTGCAGATACTCTGCTACAATGTTACTACAAACTACAAAAATAATGGTAAATGGTAAAACATCACTTATGATCTAAAATCAAATTTGCAGTTAGATTACTCGGATAAATTTGTTCAGCAGGAAGTGTGTGTGTGCAAAGAAGAAAGAAAATTAGGTGGGAAATGTTGATGTATTATTTCAGGTTTTCACAAATATTTATTTTATTTATGATCACCCTAATTAAGAGCCGCAGGTGTATGTTGACGCCCCCTAGCGGCATGGATGTCACGGCCTCAAGGTGTTGTCAGCCTGCAACATCGCTCCTGTTGCAAGATCTCACACCGGGGCTTCACACTGCAACACAGCAAGTGTAATTATAGATGCTCGCATCCTATAAGACAGACGCGCGAGGCTGGTTTAATGTTGCTTTGTGGAGTCTGAATCCCCGCTCGTAGCCATGTACACACGTCACACAAGAAATAAATTAGAGGTTTAAACAAACAGGTTCAACAAGTGCAAGTTTGAGTCTTTTTGGTATTTAAAATTTGATGCTTTTTCTGAATATTTCTGCATCCCCCAAAATTTCACTCACCTTTCTCTAACTGTACTCTTTAGCCATCACTTCATTGTAGAGCCTGCTATATTTAATGCCTTGTCATTTTATAATCGTATGCTCGAATGGCAAGGGAAAAAAATGGCAGAAATGATCAGAAATCTATTACGGGCAGTGCAATGCAGACAATGTCTCACATTTTAATTTATATATTATTTTTATGTTTCAGTAGATAAATAATCAAAGACTGGTCTTTAAAATAATAACATCACAGTTACTGCTGTAGGTAATTTGAATGATATCAATAGTCTGAATAATAATGAATTTAGTAAGTAGAAATGTCACGGTGACATTGGAGAAGACTTTTGCATCATCAGCACCTTCTTCGGTGTCTGAAAGTGAATTGGAGCGGAGAGAGAGGCCTTTTTCTCTTTCCCATGGGGATCAGATAAATATAGCCCCTAAAACCCCTCGCGCTCACCCTCTTTCTCTCTCTCTCTCTCTCTCTCTCTCACACACACACACATTTACACATTCACACTCTCGCTTTCATATGCACACACGCACACCACTTGCTGTTTGTGTAAAAGTGATTAGCGAGACACAACTGCGAAATTGTTACCTTTATAGGAGCCAAGCCACAGAATATCGCGCAAAAGCATACAGCGTGTGATGTAATGGTGAACCTGTGGTCTAAACTGTAACCTCCTGTCAGGGAGCATTGTCAGGAAATTCCAGGGTAAATACTATAATAAAGGGCTACACTGATTTGTGCTCAATATTCACCTCTTTATGCCACATCCCATCATCTGAAATATGATACAAATTAGATGTATGCCTTCCTGCAAAAAGCATAAATATAAGGTAGGCATACGCGCAAATTTTCAGGATTGAATTTACTCTATAGCAAGCTAATCTCAAAGCTTTTACAATTTTTTTTTATTTTTATTTTAAAATTTACGATTACATATTATTCATACACCTTTGTCAGTATTTTTAGTTATTCTTATTTGCATACTATTGTTAAATTGTAACTTTAAATATGTTTTTCAACGCTACCACGTCAATCGCAACAGCAGTAAAAAAAATATATTTTGTTAAATTCTAATCCTTAGGAAGTGTAAAGTAAAGTGTAAAGTATAACTAATTTTTTTCTATTTCAATTTCTAAATAATGAAATACTTTGAATTATGCTGATAAAATGAAACATTGAAAGTAATGTTAAAAACATATATGTTATATATTATTATTATTATTAATAATAATATTTTATATATTCGATATTTTTAAGCCTGAAAACAGACAACAAAATAAGACAGCTTCGATATTTTTGTGTAGCAATATTAATAATGTATGCTTTACACGAACTGTGAAGTTATTCAAATTAAATTTACTATTTTTTTTTACCGTGAAAAATGTTCCCTTGAAATAATGCGATTTTTTTTCTCAAATCACGTGTCAAAAATGTTAAGAATGTTAATAATGAAAATTGATTTTTAATTCTTTCTTAGATTTATTTACAAATAAATTCAGTTTACAACACAATATAGCTACATAGAATTACATATATTTGTATTTTTTTTAAAATTATTATTATAAACAGTCTCTTTTTTTCCAGAGGTTTTGTGTCTTGTATGAAAAAGAAGCCAAAGTAACTATGTCCAGTTGAGCTTCTGTTACAAAAGGAAAGGAGAAAAAAAAAACGTAAAATAATTACCACAGATCTCAAACAGGAACAAAGGGGAGAAAGGAACAGGTAAAAGTCAAACTGGCAAAATCATTTGTCTTTTTTTATACAAATATTTACAAATATTACCTGTACAGAAAAAAATCTTCTTTTTCGTTTTTTGTTCTCTGTTTTTCAACAGTCTTTACATGGCTTTACAGTCCAGTGCTGCCTATAAATTTGTGCTTTTCACACTTCCCAGTAATAATGTCTCTATATAAAAATAAGAGTTTGCTTTCTCTTCGGTTTGAAGTCATTGTGAAGGCCATTTGGACACTGCCGCCGCCGTCGCTGAGGGTAAAACGTGTCCAGAAATAATATTTGAAGGTACACTGAGGATGGGCGCGATAGCGGCTGAGGTCCGTGTCAGAGAGAGGGACTGCGCGCTCAGCAGGGCCGACTGGACGGTCACAGGAGGCCGCAGGAAAGCCTGTGCTGCGCCCGGCGAGGAAGAGGAGGCACTAGACACCCCGATTATATTTTCTATACTGAATGAAGGTCTGTTTGAAGGCTCTGATTTGATCATAGACGCCGTGCTGAGACTACTGAGTTGAAGCTGAAGGCTCGGGCTGAGCTGAGAGTTGAACGCTTTTCTGTTTAGCTCTGCCGAGGGCAGGAGAGGGACGCCCGGGGGCAGCATGGGACCTACAGGGGGGATGTACGGGTACTGCAAAGCAGCCGGATGGGAATACGCCGCCGGGTGGATACCGTAGTGTCTCCCGTAGGGCCCTCCAAGACTGTACGCCCCGAAACTTTGCATCATGAGAGCAGTCTGGTCCCTGAGCACATCTGGCTGAACTCTCTTGAACCTTTTCCTCCTCCTGAGGAAGCTGCCGTTGTCGAACATGTCTTCCGAAGCGGGGTCCATGGTCCAGTAGTTGCCCTTGCCGGGGTTACCAGGTTCCCGAGGGATTTTTATGAAGCAGTCGTTGAGAGACAAGTTGTGACGGATGGAGTTTTGCCACGCCGGGAACTTCTCACGGTAATAAGGGAAGCGGTTGCTGATGAACTCGCAGATCCCGCTGAGGGTGAGCTTTTTCTGCGGGCTTTGCAGGATAGCCATGGTGATAAGTGCGATGTAGGAGTAAGGCGGCTTTACCAGGCTACTCTTGGGCTTCTGGATCGCACCTGGCGCTGCGCTCTGGTCGTGACCCTCTCCTTTTCCGGTGCCCGATTCTGCCTCCCCGGCGCTCTCGCAGCACGGACTCCCTACCCCGGACGTCATCTCCTCTTTCTCCACCTCGATCTCGTCTTCCACCTCCTCGTCTCCCGTTTCCCCCCGGAGGTCGTGCAAGATGCCGTCTCCTGGGCTGTCGCAGTCGCTGTCCACCCTCTCCATGCCCTCCTCATCTCCCTCGCCCACTACGTCAATATCCACGTCCTCGGCTGTGAGCACAGTTTGGCCGGACATGTCGCTGGCTCGTTCGCTGCCTCCAGACAGGGTCATCTCACGTCTTACTGACACCGTTTTATTTTTTTTATTATTAAAAAAGTCTCACTGCAGCCGAAAAAGACAGAGCAGCCGCGCGATCAGTGCGCTCGCGCTGCTGGTTGTCAACAGATCGGATGCTTTCCCCTCCCCAAAAATCTAAATGTGATCGAACCGGACGCCTGCCAGTCCAGCCGACAAGGAACTTCAAACTTCTACAAATATTTCTCCACTCGGTCAGTGAGCAGGCCCGGGGAGCAGCACGTCTCGCCTAGAAGTTGTTTTGCAGACAGCGCGACTTTTGCGCTCCGACGTCCCTTCTCGGTGCTTAGATTTCCTGGACGAGCGAAATTTGGAGAACCGAGCCGAGATGACACATGCTGCTCTTAAAAAGGCCGGGGCTTTTAACAAGACTGTCTGATAGATTACTTTCCCTCCCCACTATAAGATATACTATCAGCGCTGGACACGTGGTTTGGTGACGACAGACGCCCCCCTGTCCTCTCTCCACTCTCCTCTCCTCCCTCCACCCACCTCTCCTCTCCTCTCCTCTCTGTTAAACCATGCAAACTGGAGTTGTTTCATGGATTTGTCAACAATGGGACATCAGCAGTGCTGCTTTCCGCTTATTTTTGTGTTCGTCCGTCATAGACCATTTAACGGTGGCAGAGGGAGGAGGAAGAGGAGGAGGGGGAGAAAATTGGCTCGCGTGATTGAAAGATCTGACGCGCAATAATGTGACCGCGTTAAAAAACAAACCAAAGCTTTAACTTTGCTAACGCGAACTCTGCTGACAGCTGCAGAATGAAAACGACAACAGCTAAGTTAACGGAATCTTCCTTCAAGTTCATGAATGTATTGACTTCTATATATATATTTATAGAAACTGTTTAATTGTGCATGCGTAGTTTATTTTTAATCCCCACAGTTTATTTTAGCGTAGAGTCCGTGCATGTAACTCTCCTTGAAAGGATACGTTAGACATGTTTTTTATTATTGATATTTTTGCTTGCTCTGTTCATTCGGTGCTGGAATTGCATGCCTCGGTGCTCCGAGCTTTAAAGCCCGGTCGCGTAAATCCAAGCAGCGAATGCAAAGCATGAATTCCAGTCTATTTATTCCCGCAGGATTTAGCCGAGGTGGGAAGAATATTGAAGAAGCGGCAGCAGCGACGATGAATGGGACGAATGCAGAATTTCCTTCAGAGTTTGGAAGAGGTGCTAACGACCCCCCCCCCCCGTGTCCGTGTCACCCCGAGTTTTTGCATTTGAAAAAAAAAGTAGGAAATGCGGGCAGCGGGTGAGTGCAAAGAGAACGTTTATTCACAAAAGCGTGAAGGTGAGCGGTGCACGCTGAGCTCTGACAGAGGGGGCACGTCAGGTCCTTTACACAAGGCTTCCTGCGTCGCGTGCGAAAATCTGGGAGGACTGATAGGAAAGCACGAGCTGCTGTATTTAGGCCGTTTGTCAAAGCGGCTTATCTTAACGTTTGTGTGTTAAAATAAAAACAGCAATTTAGACATTTTCGAGCTTGACATAGGCGCCTTGAATGTACACACGGTTTCTGGAACCTCTCAGGAGGAAATACCTAAAAATCAGCACGAGCCAGGTACTTAATGTCAGGGCTTTATTCAAATAAAATTAACGATACAACACTGAATTATTATTATTGTTATTATTATTATTATTATTGTACTTAATTTGTATAATTTGGGGGTAAATTTGATCCCTTAAGTGCCTTCACAGCGCCTCTTCACCGGCACCTGAGCTGGCGAAGCTAAAAGTGGGATTAAATTAAAACACTATCATTAATAATGCGTGTGTGTTCGGGTCAAAAGGACGGAATCGTGGATTCCGATCGGACTGGCTCCGCGTTAATCTCTCGATGACCCGCGCGATCTGGATGTCCGTCAATACCGGGGCTACTTAGCAGATGAATCCAGAGGCTTGGGGTCAACTTTCATCCTGTTCATCCGCGCGGCGAGAGTGTATTTAAGGAATCGCTCATTTGCTTTGTGGATTTGTCAGATTAAAACATTTAAAAAAAAAGATATATAGTTGCGTTTTAATTGCCAGATTTTTTTCAATATATATTTTTTCTTTTTAAAAGGAAAACTTTCTCCATCACAGTTCGTTCTTTTCTTTCTTTCATTACATTCGGGCGTTTAACAGCAGAATAACTCATGTTGGGCCCAATCAAGAATCCTCCTTTTCTTTGTCTTCTTACGGAAGAAATCTTTTACAGGAGCAAAATAAGAGACACGTGGGTATAGCAGATGTTTGATTTTATTTATTTATTTATTTTTACAGTTTTCTTATATTTTTGTTTTACTTTAAAGAATCAGATGATCGCAGAACAGCTGTCCTAACCCCCCTCTTTTAGGAAAGGCAGGTGCAGCAAGCCTTCATTAAAAACAAAAAATAAAAAATCCCGGAGTTGCAGTGTTGTGTGAAAGGCGGCGTAACTGCTGATATAACCTGACTGCAAAAGCACCGAGAGGGGGTTTCAAACCCGTCCTTCCTGTGATCTTTTGAAGCCTCATAAATCCGCTTTTATACCTCCGCAGTTTGTTAATGAAAAGTACGTTTTAAGCACGCATGCACGGCTTAGCGCGACAAAACCTTTTAGTGTAATAAGCCATCTCGTTCCTGCACGAAACCAACGAGTGCAAGCAGGAGTGTGGGGGTGGCTGGGTGGAGGTGGGAAGAGGAGATGGCGGTGGAGCAGCACAGGTGATGGAGAGGAAAGAGCCAGCACATGTGATGAGTGCACGCCGTACCAGCAAGGTCACCGAACAAATAATTGTCATCATAATAAGGCATTATGCTCCCGCGATTCCTGCTTTCTGCCCCGTCCTCGTGCGTCTGTCCCTGGGTTCAGAGGTCACCTGCAGAAGCTGGGAGGTTGGAGAAGTGCGTTGCTCAGAGAGACTCTGGCGAGGCTAACGCCTCAGACTGCTACAGAGCTGAGTTTGTCTGAATGAATAAAGGTGACAGGAGACGGTTATTATCAAAATTTGGTGGCGAGGGAAAAGAAAAGGTGAAGATATGTGACTTATAATTTATTTTTATTTAGTCTACCAGATTGGACAGCATGCTTATTTTGTGATAATACTACAACTACTACTACTACTAATAATAATAATAATAATGAAGGGGTGAATAATTTTAAAATAGTTGTAATTTTCTTATATACAAAGTATTTGTAAGTTGTATAAATATATACAAATCATGTTTCTATAAATGTATTAATATAAATATTTAAAAGTATGGCTGTATTATATTTTTAATTTTCGATCATTTCCTGGCACAGGCGTCAGGGCTTTTTAGAGTAGAAAACTACTGGAGGTTTTTTGGAAGTGCTGTCCTAATAACATCCCAATTGGCACACAAAAACATTCGGAGTACAAACAGCTTTGTAACAGCTTTTCCTGAGAAAAATCTCAAAAGTAACTTTGGCGTAAAACCTCGCGTGCGCACTGGCGAAACCAGGATCTTTATTTTCCTGCAAAATATGCTTAAGACATCTGTAAAATGTTATTTTATATAATTATTCATTTGCATGTCTTGAGGGAGTCTTTGGAAGAATAAAACGTTGTGCATGATGCAAACATGACAATATTAATGCTCAAAAATGCAACTTTACATTGAAGCGGGCTAAATAATTCACATTCTTGCACGGATTTTCCGCAAACCCAGATCTTTAAAGGCAGCTCACTGATCAGGTGACAGAGTGCGTCTCTAGGGGCAGCATGCGACCCCCAATGTGACGATAAACTGATACATTCTTATTGCGACCATTATGTTAATTATTTCACAGCAGTCAGTCAGATCTTTGGATTGTCACATTAAATAAAAAACGAAATAGCTCAATATTAGAATATCACAGCAAAACTTTACACATTCTTCTTCCCCAGAACTGGATTTTTTTCACATTTTACTCGTAAAATCCAGAAGGCAGGTATGACAGCTTTTCACCTCCCCTCCTCTTTTTTGTGTTCGTTTCTTCCTCTTCTCTTTTGGAAATCACCATTTTCAGCCCTTCTCAGAATCCACTCTATCAACCTGCGAGTTTCTGTCAAACAATATGATGGAGCTCATTTTTTAACCCTCCCTCCTGCTGGATCGGCCGCAGCCAAATCTCTCACATGTCACGTCAAAAGCAAGAAAAAAGGACCTAGAATGGAAGCCAAAGATCCGAGCGTGTATGCTGTCTCTCTCTCACTGTGTGTGTGTGTGTGTGTGTTTTTGTTTTGTTGGACGTCCCATCTGTTTGACGCGTCTGTATAAAGACACATTTCAACAGGTCAGGCTGCGCAGTTGCAGCAGGTGATCCATGAAACGTCGTGCCTTTACTCACTTTACCATTTACAGCTCATTCACGGGCCGTTTTTGGATGCTAATGCGGTTTTATATTTTTAATGGGGATCGATTGAGCGATAATATCACGTTTAAGGGGACACACCCCACGCCTTTCTATTGATTTCCCAGTCTCAAGTTTAGGTCTCCTACTTATAGCCACTGTTTTCCATCTTCCCTTTAATAGTTTCCCCCCAGATCAGCTGCTTGTGTTTCAGGTAGGAAAAGAAAAAAATAAAATAAATCAACTAATTTCTTTCATTCTTTGAAAAAAAAATTGGGGGGATTGCACTCTTAGTGGACACTGGGGCGATATCTGGGTCAAGCGGCGAGCAGAAATAAACTCATGCACAGCTTAAACAGCTGTCTGTCACTAGAATAAGTCGAAGACCTTTTTTTCTACCCTGATGATTTTCGTGTTGTGACATAAAAGATAATTTGAAATTAATCAAGCAAACATGAGAAACAACAATAAAATAAGAGAACGTAATATATGAAAATTCGGGAAAAAAATCAAAAGATTTTATTCCCGTAAGAGATGTATCTGGTTACAAAGAAGCACACGTTACTTTATTGTCGCTTTGAATTAATATTGACTGATCGTTTTCACGTCCTTTAATGTACAGAAACCACATTTTTTAATTTGTTTTTACATAAATTTGTATTACAATCTAATATCAAATATTTTAATTCGTAAACACGCCGGCCTTCGCCCCTGTCCCACCCCTACGGCTGCCCGTGAGTGAGAAGCCCCCAGGAGAAGGCTGGTTGCGTGGAAACTCGCAGGTGCTGGTGGGAAAGTGACACCTTCAGTTAAATGCAGCCGGATTACCATGCCATTGTGTGCTTGTTAAATACGCGCGGTGTCACCCTATTTGTAGGTTCATTGTCATTCAGATTAAGGACTGAATCGGAATATCACTGTGTTGCGATTCAAGCCTTAAACAGTGCAAATTGGCCCAATTGCGGGCATTTAGCGCGGTGCCAAAACACGCGCACCTCGTCTTTGAACTGAATCACTGAAAGAACAGTAAACGATGTGCTAATAGTCACAGCCAAAGATGTCAAATGATAAAGAAAGCATCTCAGAAATACCTATAATAGCGCTCACAGGTTCATCTCCACGTTTTTAACCAGTGTGTAAGTTTCAGAATAAAAAGTGAGGAAATCAGTGCATTTAATAAACGTTTCACTGGATTTTGATTGTATTGGCCCTTTGTTTTCAGGAGTACACTTGATTTGAGGTTATTTGCCATTGCAAAAATTCTTGAAATGCAGAACAATAAAAAAAACCCCTTATCTCACATTTCTTTGATTTCACAATGAAAATCTTCACGCGCCAGTATTAATGTTTGCATGCAAAGCACCTTTTCCCCATAAACATGAAAGAGAACTCTCATTCAGCTCGACCCCTGAACTCAATATCCTCCTGCTTATTGATGCATATATATAAATAAATGTAACATCACAGTAAATTACCTCCTACATCCCGCCTGCCCTACACATAATAATACACCTTCACATAATCTGTCAAGTTCTTCACAGAGACACTTTACCTCTTCACGAACCCAATTATTGTGGGAGAAAAAAAATGAGATAATGAGACAAAAGCTTTCGGTCGGAGAGGAATGGTGTTTTCATTGTATGATTGACCGAAATGTGTGTTTGTGTTTAAAACGTATGTGTGGTGTGACTTACAAAGAAGCTTAAAATGATGTATAAATGATGTATAAAAAGGTCTAAGATCACATTAGTATCACTTGTCTATAACGTGCTTGTTCTCTTGCAGGCCTAATATTATTCCTTTAATCTCCAAACATAATATTTTACATTTAATGTATGGCTTCCCCTATTTGCTTTATTTAAAAAAATGTCCTTGCCTGTTATTCCTGCGGGGAAGTGCATATCACACATCCTAATCAAAGTCCTGGTTCTGTCCGTTGAAATTAAGGACTGCACCTTTAAATTGTCAATTACTCTGAGGTTAAGTGGACTGAATAGACCCAGTGATTCAAATCAGGTGTTCCACCTGATCGCACATTGCTATCTGACTTCATTTCATTTTTACCCCAGATGGCGAAGTGCATTTCACACACAAAGAAAACATAAACTTACTTCGTTTCAGCAAACCTATTTTTACCCCCCTTCCAGTATCCATTTAAATACATTTAAACTGGTCATGAACACCTAAAGAGTGCCTGAGTAGATGTTGCAGCCTTTAAGCTATGCTTCAGTTCTCTTTCACACTAAATGCAGCAACAGAACTACAGCAGTAAAAATACACAAAACCTTTATATAAAACACAAGATAAAACCATCTAAAATTATTGCAACAGTGTTGCATTACAATATTTGCTTTTAGGTAGAACGTCTGCAGATAATAAAGTAAACAGCATAGCGGGGTTAACAACAAAGTTATCTCCCTTGCATCCATGCAGGGAGTCCAAAGTAAGCATCAATATTTTACAATCCCTCCAGAATCCTCTTCAAAGATGTAATCAATGCCTCCTATTCATTATCCATGTGTATGTCTTCTAGGTATGGCCTTTGTCATTAAGCAATAATTCTCTTCGCCACAGTCCCACATTACTCTGCAGCTCCATACTTTTACAAATGCCTCGGGGCTATAAATACTAATGAAATCTCTTTGCTTAATTTGATTTTGCTGGTACACTTGCAGTTATGGCTGAACTTTCCCACGAGAGAGGCTGATTGAACACTTTCAAGTCCTTATGGAAGCAGGAAAACATTCCAAAGAGCTGGGGAGATCATTTCCATAATTACCCCGATTGGCAGCCTAATGACCTTCTGTGACAATAAAAAGATCTCTTGTTAATTCCATTTCTGTCGCTGACATTCAAGAGATTCCTATCTTACATGTTTGAGGGTTCACAAGATAACAAGTGTACTTTTTTTTCTCCCTGTCGTTTTTCAGCGAGCAAAAGAGCAGCCCCATTCAGTTTGGCTCCCCCCAACACACTGCAGCGATGTGCCTCCGCCTAGCTCTGAAAGGGATCTGCTTGTGCCTGCATGGCTCGTCCACCCTGCCCAAAAGTTGGATAATTTATGGGCCTGAGGGAGATTATAAAGATGGATCTTTGAGGCAATCAATTCTCATGTTGCGTTTTGAATGGTGGGATAGAAATGAAGTGCAGAATAATTAAAAAGATCACAAGTCCCCCTTCGCATGTAATAATGAGTAGCTCCAGAGGCAGTGGGCTCTGCCACAGTGCCGGAGGAAGCGCCTTTGATTTGACTAAGAGGACACCCGGCCTGGTCCAACACTCTGCTGCACAAAAGGGGGGATTTCACCCACCGCCACACACTGAGCCAGCCTTGAGGACTGTGTGCTTGTCCACCAGCGAGATCATAAGCAGATACTGTTGTCACAGGAAGTGGCGGGGGGGGGGGATTGTTGCTTGGATGTCAGAGTTGGCATGAAAAGTGATGGAGGCGGCTGTTTGGAATATGTTTCACAATGCTCAGTGTTATGGGATTTTAAAATAAAATCCATGCGCCCTTTGCATATGAATTCGTGTCAAAATGTACCATCAGCCCTCTGCATGCACAACTGTGAGTTGTTGTGTCCTGATGTAGTCAAATACAGCCTTTTTTATACTTCTGAATGCATTAGGCCAAATGTGAGACTTGTGTTTGTTGGTTGGCTTTTGGAAAATAACAAGTTTCTGAGGAAATGTCTCGGTCCAGTCAGGCTTTGTTGCATGAGTACACTCAAAGATTGATAGAGGCTCAATTTTTACACGCACACACCACAGCTTCTCAATATGATCACAAAATAAGGCATAAAGGACACTGTTATGAGCTTGGGAGGGTATCTTAGAAACAGATGTCTGCGTGTGTGGCTGCTTTTCTCTGCTGTATAGGGGGAAATGTAATGACACCTGGCAGCAGGCTCACACTGAATATCATTTTTCTGGTCACTTGGTCAACTCAATGTTGGCGAACTGCACACACTTTGAGAGTAGAACACAGCTGCAGGCAGCAGTTAGAGTAGATTTTCCTTGTAAAAAGGTGTTAACATGTGTTAAGTGATAACCTTGCATAGTTCTTTTATGTAGTCGAGATCAAGTGTACGTGCAGGACTCGTGATTCATCCTCCTGATGGTTCTGAAAAATGCATTTTTGGTGTGGAGTTTTCTAATGCACTGAACAAATAGAATACCAGTGTGGCAAATCTCAACGAATGAGCTAGGGCATGATGATAAATTTGCAATGTTAATATCTGGAAGCATTGGGGATGATTGAGTGTTGCTGGGCAGCTACAGTTGTTTACTTAAAAAGATCAATGGACACAGTTTTTGTTCTTGAGCCAATATAAAAAGTGACAGAATGTAACAGAAAATGTGAAAAATTCCGACAACGTTCAGGAGATGTGGGTCAAAACTGCTTTTTTTTTTTTACATTTCTTTTTGACACATTGAGAGTCCAGATTCAAGATTTTAAACCTTTTGATCAGTACTTGTGTAGTATTGGTGGTATTACCATATTGATAAATGATGTACGTAGCTTCAAAATCATGTGTTTGAGTGTTTGTGCAATTTGTGCATGTAACAGGGCGGCCCTTAGCGGCTGGAAACACAGTGAGATGGACCAAGGCAATTGTAGTGGAACAAAGTAATTATTTGCTATACAGCTCGCCTTACAACAATTCATTTGTCGAGCTTCTTCACAGCACAAAAGTCCACCTCTAATGACAACTGGCAGCCTTAAATATGTTCAGCTGTCACAGACTTAACCATTATTCCACTCTCAGGTAAATTCTTAAATCCCAACCTTCCACCACAGTATACAATATATCAATAAGAATAAATAAATAAATAAATACATTTTCACATTTACATATTAATAAATATTTCACACTTTAATGTTACACCAAACCCAATATTATAAAAACCCAGAAACCCAAGCACAAAAAGATTCACCACACTCTCTTTACCAATGGTCTCTCCCGGAACCTTTAAATGGTGTCTGGACCCCCCAGGAAACATTTGCCCAAACACCTTGAAGAGGACACAGGCAAAAAAGGTGAGTAATCATTATCTTACAAACACTTATTTGCACCACTTTCATCCCTAGATTTCACACACACATTTGCATTAGTTTTCCTTACTGGTAAACCTTAATCACAATCTCAATCACCATTCTTCTCTCCTGACAGACAACCACCACATTCCTTGATGAGGAGCAGCTGTGCAGGATCTGAAATAAGGCTACCAACTGATTTTAAAATTCCCAATAAATGGTCAATAAATATTTAAACTTGTGTGCAAATCCATGCTTAAAGTGCAATGCTAAATAAAGTGCTTGATAAGGTGCTTTTAACAAAGTGAAAGGTGTGCTCTAAAGTGCTATACAGATAATATAAATAAATGCAGTAAGGGAGTCCTCTTCCTTACAGTGAATAATGCTGAGATTTGATGTTTTTCTGTCACGTGAAACCAAAATCTGTGCGCTTTTGAAATTGAAAGGATGATTTAAAAAACAGTGAAGAAGGACCTAAGATTCAGCACATTATATGATTGTCTTTGAGAGGCAGCTTTTGCTCTAAATATGACTTTACATAGTCCTTTTATTCAGTTGGGACCATATGCAATGGCAGCCTCTGAAGAAAACAACTTTATGCCTGTTACTCTGTGCACATACCATCGTCCTGTTGAGGGCACAGTTTCATGCCATCTGTTGGCTAGAACAGGTAATAAGAGCAGTTGTGAGTTTATGCACAGGATGTGTGCCTTGGTGTAAACTGTACTCTACCCACTAACTTAACGGATGTGATAAGCTGTGTAACAAGCCCTTAGAGCTCACCCTTAAGTTGCTTCAAAAAGAGAAAAAAACAGCCGAGTGAAGCTTTTGTACCTCTTAATCTGCTTGTTAATAATCCAGGCATTCATTTTTATGTTTTTCCTCTAATTCTAAACAAAACCATCTGGTTTCTCACTATTCTTTATTCCCCCTCAAGCCGTTTCTGGTTCAGGAACTTTTGGAAAATCAGATCAACCAGTTCATTTAAACATGTTACAGAATCATCAAAGATCTGCAGTTAATAGTGATTTGGCTGGCTTCTTCCTGGCCTGCAATGTTACAACTCAAGAACCAAAGGAGAAGCTAAATGGCTAATGGGGCCATGTGACTGGACTTGAGAAAGCAACTCAGAACAGAAAATCCAATTATCATGTTAGGATTCTGCATGAAAACAGTCTATACTAGAAATTAGAGGTATTCCAGTCAGATGACTCCTGTTAGTGTGGCTAATGTCATTTGAAAGCGCCTTACGCCTTCTTTGAATGTTATTAAATGTTTACAAATGAGTATAATGTGCTAAAATGCGATCAGAAAATGGTCTGGTTATTCAGTGTAGGCATTCAGTTTGAGCAGTCACTTCCTAAGATGGTTTAGTGATACATTATGGGTAACAAACATTGAGTTAAAGCCCCACAGAAACACGAGAAATATAAATGAAATATTAAACAGATTTTTAGGGATCCAGCAGTGTCCTTTTATGTTTATTGGAGAGCAAGCATGTCAGTTAGGACTGGGGACCGAGAGAAATGAGCAGTCCCCAGCTGGACTTGAAACTTAACCACCAGGACTAAATGATTCTGCAGCGTGCATACTGAAACATTGCTAAAACAGTGTTTTGCAAAGTTACTTGAAATTATGGGCTCCAAAGAGGATGCTTTGTGCTTAAAAAAATTGCTTCTCCATCCCAGATGTTTGATTAGATGGAAGATCATGAAACATCTCTTTGTTTTATTTCACCCAGATGGAATCTCTGCAGCAGACTTCATTGTGCTGCTACAGCAGAAATGACAAATGACCTTCATTTCTCTATTCAGCTGTAAAAGATAATATCATGGACATTAAATAATAATGATGATATATATGTAAAATCCCAAACACATATATGTGTTCCGATAAGAATCACCTTGCTGAGAAAGTGACCCGAGTCACTCAGAGCTCGAGCGTATGTACATTCTACCAGTCACACTTTAGTTTGCACTTCTTTTGTTCCCTAGATATTAACAGTTTGTGGCACTTATGTAATGATTACCCATTTTATTTCCCCTACAGGGACTTGTCGTCTTGGGTCAGGTTTTGCTGCATCCTGCAAGGGGCTTTCAAACTTTCTCACAAAGGCCCCATTCTCTTCTGTGTTGCTCTTCTTCATCACCCAGCTCCAGGGCATGGCAGAGCTGCTCAAACCCCTGTATTGTCTGGGCAAAACCACATATTAAATTTGCCCTGCATAAGCCATTTCATTGAGCTGCTGCAGGAATTCCTTTGCTGGGTCATCTATCTGTGTACATGGTTTGGACACACATTTGAAACAAAGCGAGCCAGTCAAGGATAATATTGAGGAAGCTACATACATTTCAAGTTTTGCAGCATATGTCATTTCTGTTTCATGCTCTTTTGGCATTAGAGCGGTTGGTGCAGATCCATGCAACGGGAACACTGCAAAGCTGTAGCTGCGAGCGATCCAAAATTTCTCCTTGCATATGTAATGTTTTGAACTTCATTATGAATTCTGGATTTTCCCCCCATCAGGAATGTCAACTGAATAGAAAAAGAAAGACGCTAAGAGAGCTCTCTATGCACAGCTAACAATTCACAATGAATAATAAAGAGAAGGAAATCTGATTCAACGCGAGCAGTTGCACTGTGGATAAATTATCCACTCTGTTTTGGAACCATACATGAACCATATCCCGCCTTTTCTTTCTCATTTGTGTTGAGAAGTTGCAGATTCCATATTTGTAGAGTCATCTCCAGAGCAGCACAGCAAGTATTAGCTTAATACTTCATGACCACATTAATGATTTCTTTTGGACTGCTTATCGTTAACATAATCACGAGTATAGATTTATTAGTCATGAAAAACGCAATGTTATCAAGGACAAAATGGAAAGCCTGTCTCGGTAAAAACACAGAAAGCAAACAAACTTGTGATGGTGATAAGATATGGGTCTAAGAGCCTGATATGTAGTGGATTTCAGTTTTATGATTTTGTGGTCTTACGGGACATTACTCTATATTACTCTGTTTAAAAGAGAAAAAAAGCAGAACAAGAAAGTCTCTTTTTGTTTTTCCGTGCACACAAACCAACAATGGTTCAATTCTGGATCAACCATTAATCTCTGTGTACAGGGAGTGCAGAATTATTAGGCAAATGAGTATTTTGTCCACATCATCCTCTTCATGCATGTTGTCTTACTCCAAGCTGTATAGGCTCGAAAGCCTACTACCAATTAAGCATATTAGGTGATGTGCATCTCTGTAATGAGAAGGGGTGTGGTCTAATGACATCAACACCCTATATCAGGTGTGCATAATTATTAGGCAACGTCCTTTCCTTTGGCAAAATGGGTCAAAAGAAGGACTTGACAGGCTCAGAAAAGTCAAAAATAGTGAGATATCTTGCAGAGGGATGCAGCAGTCTCAAAATTGCAAAGCTTCTGAAGCGTGATCATCGAACAATCAAGTGTTTCATTCAAAATAGTCAACAGGGTCGCAAGAAGCGTGTGGAAAAACCAAAGCGCAAAATAACTGCCCATGAACTGAGAAAAGTCAAGCGTGCAGCTGCCAAGATGCCACTTGCCACCAGTTTGGCCATATTTCAGAGCTGCAACATCACTGGAGTGCCCAAAAGCACAAGGTGTGCAATACTCAGAGACATGGCCAAGGTAAGAAAGGCTGAAAGACGACCACCACTGAACAAGACACACAAGCTGAAACGTCAAGACTGGGCCAAGAAATATCTCAAGACTGGTTTTTCTAAGGTTTTATGGACTGATGAAATGAGAGTGAGTCTTGATGGGCCAGATGGATGGGCCCGTGGCTGGATTAGTAAAGGCAGAGAGCTCCAGTCCGACTCAGACGCCAGCAAGGTGGAGGTGGAGTACTGGTTTGGGCTGGTATCATCAAAGATGAGCTTGTGGGGCCTTTTCGGGTTGAGGATGGAGTCAAGCTCAACTCCCAGTCCTACTGCCAGTTTCTGGAAGACACCTTCTTCAAGCAGTAGTACAGGAAGAAGTCTGCATCCTTCAAGAAAAACATGATTTTCATGCAGGACAATGCTCCATCACACGCGTCCAAGTACTCCACAGCGTGGCTGACTTCAATGTTGTTAATTTATCTGTCCAAATGAAAATAGTGGTATAAAACATCACCAGACTAAATCAAAAACCTTCGCTGTGCTGCTCACAGCGAACCCAGTGTGCTAACACTTACATGACCCTTTGTTATTGTCCCAAGATTCCCTCAATTTAGCAGATGAATTGCTCTGTAAACATCTGATTTATTTCAAAGACGCTTCCAGTTACCTTAAATTGTGTTTGTCGGAAACTTAAGTCATCTGACAGGAATTCCTCTATATGCTACTGCTGCAGTCCAAGCACAACTCCAGTACAATCTAATTATCTTAGCAGCATAACATCTGAGAGGTGAGCTGCTGTGGCGGATCATTATCATCTCAAATGATGGGCAACCTGTTGTGTTTGTAGATCAGTAGCATGTTACAATAATGCATTAATAAATTCAAGACCCAATTTATTTATAACTGTCCAAGAAGTAAAGGAAATGCAATTACACTGGCTGAGGCTAAACTTAGAGAAATCAAATAAGAGCTGTTACAGGCTACAAAAACCCTACAGTTTCAGGGGCCAGCTTTATTTCTCTGTGCTGTGGTGACAGACTATTTTTTGACCAAAGCATTTTAAGTTAAATTAAATCTAAAGAAGTCTTTTCCAGACCAAAATTTACAGACCAGCTGCTAAATTTACCACTAAAGAGATAAGAAACCTACCCTAACACAAACTGCTAATTAATAGTGTGTGTTACACACATTGTGAAATTAGCAGAGTGTATGTCTAATTCCTGGTTAAACTGCCAAGTGTTGATAAACCGGCTGTGTGGACGTCTGACAGGAACCAAGGAGCATACACGGTCTACCTGCACTCACTATCTTACACGCCAATATGGCAACCACATCTGTAGCTTTCATTTGAGTGTTCAGGTAAAAACCTTAGACTTTCTGAATGAAAGTTCTTTGTTGATGCCTGATATCAAAGGAGAATGACCAGAGTGCTTCATGCTAACAGGAAGGTAACAGTAGATCAAACCAACCACCAAGATATGCAACGAAACATCTCTGAATGCACATGTTTAACCTTAAAGAAGATGTTCATTAGCAGCAGAGAACAGGAAACAGAGGCTACAGTTCATACCTATGGCTCACCAAAACCGGATAGCGGAAGATCGGGAAATCATTGCCTGTTCCCGATGAGTCTCAACTTCTGCTGCAACATTTGGAGTGCGGTGTAAATAACAGGCAAGCATAGGTTCATTGTACCTGGTTTAGGCTACTGCTGCTGGTGGTGTAATGGTGGGGAAGATATTTTA